TGTACTTTCATCACTTGCACTTTCTGTGATACTGAAATTTGCCTTTTGAATTATCTCTGTAAAGCAGATACAGAAGTGACTGAAAAATCAAAGTCAACATTTTGAGAAGTTGTTTGTCATTTAAAGCTGTAGAAGGATGCATTTCAGAATATTTACAAGGTGAYTTTTGCTGTTTAATTCTGCCTGTGAAGCCACGTGTCTGCTGGAGGGAACATTTTTGTRTTCAGTGGTCAACCCTTGATGGCTCTGCTCTGCTTAAGCTGGTGCTGGACATTCAAGTGAAATCCCTGGAGCTGATGGACTGCAAATGATTCACATATTYCAGTGCTTCACTGAATCACCTTTAAGCCCATCTGTGACAGGCAAATTTCTCTCCAGTTTGCTGTGGGCATGCTCTTTCCTTCCATCTTGGCTGGTAGTTAAACTAAATGTTTAAAAGAAMGAGTTTGTCCTTTCAAGCCTACTTTGAAATTACATCTCACAATATTTATTGCACATCTCCTGATCCCATGCTTTTTAAGGAAATATTCAAAAAGAGATTTTGTTGCCTTCAGGGGGGAGGGAAAAATCCTCTACTCAGCATATTGTGAAATATGCAGAGAGAAGGCAACAAACTGCCATTGCATGTCAGATACATGAAAATAAATGCTTGATGGAAGATTTTTCTTTCATCTTGTAAATGCTAGTAAGAAAAAAAAGAAATTATGAAAATGCAATTTTGCCATTTTCTATTCTTTGAGCAATCCTATCATCCATGTCCTTATTTATTTTGATAGCCTTTTTAATTCAGAAAAAATAAAATTAAGTCACTACAGGGACTGCTGCAATTTTTTTTTTTATATCAGTGACCAGATCACCTTAAAAGRAAATTGCTGTAATTTAAATTGTTTAAAAGAATTGTTCAGATTTCYAAAGGCACTCAGCAGCCAACCATGCCTAGATTAAGGCACAAGCAATGTRTGATCATGTTTTTATCCTTGTTGTTGGAATCCAGAGCCTTTGGATGATTTTGGGGGTCATCCTGACTTTCATGTGTTTTAGAGCAGTGGGTCATGATCTCTGGAAAATTGCCAGTCAGAGCTGGATGTTAGAATTGGCTTCTTTTTATATTAAATCTTGACAAGAGAGTCTCAAAATCTTCCCAAACCAGTGACATGTAACATGACACATGATTTTTATCCACACTGCTGTGACCACAAGCTCTGGAAGTCCTACCCACTTCCAAAATGTGAGAATTTTTTTCAAGGAATCATTKGACACTCTTTATTGTGAGAAATAAATTACACTAGAGTGCTTAGGTCAAAGATTTCTCCTGAAATGGAAAGGTGGAATTCACTGAGAGGGTGAGGTAGGACAAGTAGGCGCTCCTATATTGGGGCAGAAGAGGAAGGAGAAAATTGGCAATATTAAAGAACAATTGAACTCTGAAAAGGTGGGGAGGGCTGCAGGGACACTCATGARGATTGCACAGCTTTAATCTAACGTGAGTGGACTCCATAGTCTGGAATCTCAGGGAAACGTGTTACTGGTGATAGCAGCAGGTCAGCTGGATCAGCTGATGTCCTTTCAGGCTGCACATTCCAGGGAAAGGCTGCTCTCATGCACAGCAGAAAAGGTGAATGGAACACTGTTTGATTCCATTAGAGTGGTATTTTTAGGCTGCAGGTAGTGATAAGAACACGGCTCCTTGGAATGATGAGCTCAGGGAGAGCATTGCTTACACAGTCATTCAGCCAAAGGCCTCAAGAAACTAATGAAATTTGTTAATAAAAGTTGAACAGCTTTAGTATGGATTTTTGATAAGGAAACAGCTGCTCATTTGCTGGGGTAGTAGTAGAATCTGGAGGCCACAGGATCTGCTGAAGAATAAGCAGATGGTTCAGAGWAAACAATTTGAGGTAGCTCTTGTAATTTCTTTAAGATCTTAGTACATAACCTGACACTAAGAGGTTATASGGAGCTCATTGAGCTAATAGTGATCAAGTATTTATTGCTGGAGGGCAGCTAGAGAGATGAAAAAGGCAGCCAGATTTAATGAGAGATAAATAACATACTGCTGCACATCCTCCAAAATGGGATTTGAGTAGTTAAAAGGTGCCAGAAGAGGCTGAGTGAGATGCAATCTGCACATGGTGATAAACAGCACATTCTGAACTGGAATGTGTTAGGTCAAGAAACCTGTGGTAGTCAGAGTAGCTCAAAAGAGAATTGTCACTACCAGCATGCACAGATTGCAGACCAGAGCCCTCCTGTGTGGAAACCAGGACAATTCTTTGATCACAGAGCAACAGAATGGCTGAGATGGGAAAGAACCCAGACCAAACCCCTGCTGAATTCAACAGGGAACCTGGACCCTATTGCCCAGGACCATGGAGAGTAATCCATAGGATAACTCCAAGGATGGATGCTCCACAACCTCCCTGGGCAAACYRCAAATAATTGGTCACCCTCRGTGARAAARTKTTTCCTGSTGTTCAGAGGGAACCTCCTGTGTCCCAGTTTGTGTCCATTTCCCCTTGTCCTGTTGCTGGGCACCTCTGAGAAGAGCCTGGCTGTGTCTTCCTGTCATCCTCCCTTCAG